TCCTGCCGCATGCATCATCTGCCTCTTCACAGGCCCTGCTCAGGAGATGGGATGCAGTGTCTGTGCGGTCTTTCTCCTCCACATGTGCCAGGAGGGACTGCCAGGCATGTCCACGCTGGAGCTGCATGCTGCTGGCACAACCTAGATGTTCTATATCAAAACCATAACAGCCCTCAGGACCAAACTCCTCCAAGACAAGTTCCAGCAGGTCTTTTAGGCTCTTGCATATCACCCAGCCTCAAAGCAAGGTAAGGGCATTTGCTATGACCTCCTTGGACTGGGCAGGCACTGGGAGTCAAATTGCCCACCCCAAGCTCTCCATGGGAGCAGGGAGACAGGGGAGCTGCCTTTTCCAAGCAACATAAACCTGGGGCAGCCATCACAATCAGAAAGCCCAGAGCTTTGGAGTGACCTGCTCCAGCCTGCACAGGAACTGCTCCACTCTGCCATCAGGACATGAGGACTCTCAGTTTGATGCTGGCTCCAGGTCACTTCCTTCAGTCCTGCAGCAGCTACCACTTCACACCAGGCAGCGATGCAACCAAGGCAGTGAGCTGGTGGATGCACCTCCATCCCACCGCCCTTGTCCCACAAAGCCAGCCACAGCATACAAGTACCAGAGTTTATTGGCAAAATGCAGAAATCAAGGGGGGTAAAGAGGTCTGAGTGGGGAGGTGGCAGTGCCCAGGGATGCCCACACAATGGTGTCTAGCAGTGAGCAGGGTGGTGGGACAGGGTGGAGGTCCTCACGGTCATCAGGGCCCCACACAGGTGTAGGTGATATTTCCCCATCGGAATGCAGGGGATGACGACCGGAGCCACTGCAGGGTGGCTGCACTCTGCTCGCAGACCCAGCCAAGGGCTTCCCCACACAGACCACCTGACAGCCCCGAGGCTGACACCCTGCCACAGGCCACAAAGCTGCTGGTGGAGCGCTGGACTGGGAAGAGCCTGCAGGGATAGAGTAAGATGAGATGGAAGGGGCAGGAAGGACTGGGGTCAATCCCATCAGCAGCTTCTCCAGGCAGGGTCCAAAGGCTGCAGAGAGATGCTGTGGGGGCAAAGCTTGCCCTCCCCATGGAGCACCATCACCTGCCACCCTCCTCCCAATTGGGACACTGTGTCCTAGCAGAATTAGTACTCTGATTCTCCCCAACTCTGCCTTTTTGACATGCAGCCCCCAGCCCCATCATGCACACAGTATCCCCAGGTCCCTGGCAGAGCTCAGCACCAAGCAAAGACTGAGAACCTTCTTTTAATTCCCGAGCCCTTCACTCAAGGCAGGGTTTGGGCACCAGGGTCATGTCCCTGAAATCTTCCCTAAAACTCCCCAGTGCAGACCTGAGAAGATGAGAGGTAGCCAAAATGTGGAGCACATCTCCCTGTACCAGCAGGGCTGCCTGTTCCCCCTGACGCCTCCCCAGGCCCTGATGCTGGACCCTTGGCAGCCCTTGGCTGGGAACAGTCAGACTCACCCCTTCAGTGCAGTGCCATCGAGCCACTTCCAGTCAGATCTCAGGCCATCCTGCTTCAGTCCCACATGGAAGACCTCCATGTTGGCTGTGCGCACCAGGAAAGCCTAGAGCAGGAGAGGATCTGTGCGGGTTCTCTGGGGGGACACCCAGTCCCAGCCCTCCCAGGCATCATTGGTTCCCCGCCTGGAGGCTTGACTGGGCTTTGTGCATGTAAGCCAGAGTCAGCAAGATGACACAGTGCTGGTGATGGCCTGATGACTGCTGAGGGACCTTGAGGTGGTCACCAACACAGCCCCAGTGCCTGCAAGGAGCTGGACAGGCCAAGGTGGGTGCACTCACCAAGGTGGTGTTGGCTCGGATGGTGACCAGCTGTGCTCCTCTGGAGCAGCAGTCCTCTCTGCTCTGCTGCCAGCTCCTTTTGGCAGAGGAGAAGTAGTAGCACTGCCCCGCATCCCAGAGCCACCCAGCCGGGCAGAACTGGCATCGCCCTGCACACCAGAAACTCAGCCTGTGGAAGCAGCTAGAACAGGGCAGCCAGAAGGGGCTGCCCCCAGCACACTGGACAGGAGGGTACCAACCAACCCAATGTCCTCCTATGCTTACCCTGTGCAGAGGACCCTCTGCTCACCCTTACTTTGGAGACCAGCTCCCCATATCCCAGCCCAGCTCCCCAGCTGGGGAGATGAGCTGCTTACACATAGGTGTTGGCATTGGGCAAATAGGTCAGGGCAGATGGGTCAGAGAGTGGAGTTCCAGGTTTGGGGTTGTGATACAAACGTCATTTGCAAAACATAGGCAGTTGAGGCTTCAGCTTCATCAGAGTCTGGTCGAAAGAAAGCACCTTATGCCATCTGGCACATGGATGCTCATAGCAGCCGCAAGCTCAGTGCTCATGGCATGCCTAGGTGACACTGAATCACGCTGAGGTGATCTCTTAGAAGAGAAGGGTCCCAGCAGTGCAGACAGATCAGTAGCACTGAGGCAGATCTCCATGCCATGAGCGAGGAGACAGGCAGCAGGGGTGAAGGAAGACTTCAGGAGGGTGAAGGAAGACTTCAGGAGAGCACATTCTGCTGTAGGAGCAGATCTTTTCTCTTGAAGGGAGCAGCCAGGCCGTCTCCAAACCTCAAACAAGAGCCTGACAGGCTCTCCTACCTTGCAGTGCCTGATGCACATAGCTGGGACTCTCCTCCATGCTCCGGGTGCAGCTTGCCTGTTGTCCTAAATCTACAGAAGAAGAGCACAGGAGTGTTCCTGCCAACCTTGGAGTCCCGCTCCCAGGAGCACCCACTGCCCTCTCTCATGGAACAATGCCCGTGGCTGCAGCTGAGGGTGTCTCCCCTTTCAGATGACCTGCCACCCAAGCTTGCTAAGGTTCCCTGTGGCTTTTGCTGCGCTTGAGAGCCCACCACACAGCAGGCTTTCAGGCAAAGTGCCTTTGCTTTTCAGTTTTAGTGTCACCATTCTCCCTCCCGTCTTCAATTTGTTGCCATGTGACAGGGCAGGATGCCCCAGCCCCAGCCCCAGCCCCAAGCCCAGGCTGTTCTCCTGCCTTCCTCTCCAAGCCGCGCAAGTGAGGTCTTGCTTCACCAATTTTCCTGGTTGCCCCAGAACCCAAAATGTCCTTGGCCCCAAGCAGAAGGGCCCAGCTCTGTCAGCAAGTTGCAGCTCTGTCTGTTGTTGCACAGACCCTGTGGAGCCAAGTCCAAGACCCTGGCCAGGGAGGTCCAAGCACAAGCAGGTACTCACAGTGGAAGCTCAAGCCAGCGAGGACAATCTGCGCCAACAGGAGGATCAAGGAAAGGAGAGACAGGCTGAGGGCTGCCCAGCACCAGGACAGCCGCACCGGCTGCTGAGGAGCTGAGAAATAGAGTTAACCTGGGCTCTGGGGTATTGGTGGGAGCAGTGAGGGACCCCCAGCCAGGAAAGGCCTGTGAACCCTGGGCAAGGTCCCAGGACATGGCAGGGGAGCCAGAAAAACTGAGGGAGAGCCTGTTGTCAGTACCTTGGCCCTTCTAGAAACTGTCTCCCTGCAGATAGCGTTTGGCACAGGGCAGGGAGAGCAGAGCAGGGGGTGCTTGTGTGTGCCATGGCATTGGGGTGCAGCGAGCACCCCCTTCCCTTGTGTCCCTCCTGCCTCCCTGCCCAAGAGCAGGCAGTCTGCAATGGGGCTGGAGAGGAGCTGCTTGGGAGGGAGTACCCAAAAGCAGGGAGCGGAGGAAGCAGGGCTGGGGAAACAGCCCTGCAAAGGTCAAGGGACAGGGGGCAGGGGACCCACCAGGAAAGCCGGGGTGCCAGGGCAGGGAGCAGCGTGCAGTTACCTGGTGGGGGGGTAAAGCGCAGATCGGCATATGTGACCCCCTCTTCCATCCCTCCCTCGGTCTCTTGCTCTGCACCCCACGGGGAAGTGGCAGCCCCCTGCCAGCCCCCTCTTGCAGCTGGCTGTGACACGAAATGGAAAGTGTCACTTCCTGGCGGTGTCCCCAGAGGCACCACCTAGGTCACACGTCTGGGGGGTCAAGGTGCTGCCAGTGAGCATGGCAAGGGGGAAGCCCCAGCCAGGCCTTCCCCCGGGCTTTCCCGGCCCAAGGGAACCCCACACCTCTGGCCTTGGGGCAGTAAGCGGTGGGGATAACTGCTAGCTCAGACAAAAAAAAACAATGCTGAGGCGGCTTTCACTGTCCCCACCTCTCAATGCTCAGCAGATCTGTCCTAGGGACAGTGCAGGGGACCTGAGCATCCTTAGGGCATAGTGCACAGGGCTCTGTCCACATCCCCAGGCTCCATGCCCTCAGAGCAGAAAGACTATGGGGAGTTCACTCAGGCAAGGTTTCTGCTGCCTTTTTGTTTTGCACAGAGTAGCACCTCAGCCCTGGAAAGCTGGGAGAATGGGGTACACTCCTTCCTCTCACAGAGCCTTAAGGGTTGATGGTCATCCCTACCTTACCCTCTGTGGCAGGGTGTAGACCCCCCCCAGCCCCCCCAGGAGTGATCCTGCCCTGCTTGCTCATGTCCTCCCCCACAGCTGGGCAGGGCCAAGCAGGCATCGACCCTTGGGTCATGGCTGGCATGGGGAGGGTATGTGCAGCCTCTTCCCGAGGCTGCACATGCTCCATGAGACTCTCAGGAGCTCCTGATGCAGTGCCACATGCGGCACGATGTGGATCCCAGTGGGGTCCCAGCACAGATCCCTGTCCAGGCTCCAGTGCAGCTCTCAGCTCTGTGTGTAGCTCCCAGTGCAACTCCCAGTGGTCCCGGTGCAGCGCTCAGAGCAGCTCCCAATGCACCCTCAGTAGCACATGGCTGAGCCCCGGAGCCGAGCTCTGCCCCGTCTCAGCCTCATTGGTGGACGAGGGCTGAGCTTTCCCCCGGCACCCACTTGTGGGAGCTCATGCTGGCAGCATGTCACACCGGCCACGGTGGACCGAGGCAGAGATAAGAAGCCTCCTGTCACTGGTGGGGAATTCAGGGGAGGTCACCTTGTTCATGCACTCCATGTCACAGCCCAACACGACTCAGTGGCAGGAGGTCTCCCGGGGCATGGAGGTGGCCAGCTACAGGCACAGCGTGGCCCAGTGCAGCCACAAGTGGAGGGCACTCAAGAAGGCTTGCTAATCGGAGCAGGAGAGGCTCCAGAGGAAAGAATACCACTCTCCCCACATGCCCCTGCACTACAAAGCCATAAAGATAATCTGGAAGACAGCAGGCAGCCCAGCAAGAGGAGGATGCCAGATGGGTGCTGGGGGATGGGCTGGTGGGTTTGTTAGGGTGGATGGATGTGGAATGCTGGGGGAGCACTGGTGCTGTGGGGCAGCCCGGGGTCTGCCAGCAAGCTCTTTCTCTTCCTCTAGACCTGGCAAGGCAGCCCCCCAGGAACTGCAGGTCAACCCTTGCCGTCCATTCTCAGCCCTCAGAGGACCTGCAAGGCATTCGTTGTCCCCAGGTTTTTGAAGTTATTTTCTGCACCCCTCATCCTTCTTTTGCAGAGCATAATGTTAGTCAGGACACCCTGCACATTCTGCTGCCTCCAAAGGACAAAGAGCCAGGGACCTCTAAGCAAGGATCTGCACAGCTGCACAGCCAGAGCTCCAGACCAAGCCCACACCATCACAATCGGAACAAGAGATTTGGAAGTCCAGGAGAGGCCCCATGAAAAGTGCTTCACAGGGGTGCTTGCTAATGGGGGTGTTGGGACTTCTCCCTTCAGACAATTTGGCTCCCAGTCAGCCTCAGAGCATGAGAGGGTGGCTAGGACAAGGCAGGAGGGGGTCCCCAGCTCTGACCCAGCCTGGCAAGGCTGCGGAAAGGAAGGTTGCAAGGCTCAAGGTCTCTAAAGAATGGTGACCCTGATCCATCCCAGATGGCTCTCCTGTTGTGTGGCATGTGACTCCCCCTCCTTCATCAAGCCCTGACTCCTCTCCTTCCCCAGTAACACCACAAAGCTTCAGATGAGTTAGGAAAGGGTGTGAGGGGTAGAGGTGTCTGCAGCTCCACAGCCCTGTAACTCACCCAGAGGCTACTGCACACACTCCCAGGTTGTTTGATAGTGAGGTCGTGGAGGATATGCCCCTGGGTCTGATCTGCATGGGCGCATCCCTCACTGGGATATTGCCTTCTGTCTCCTTAAGTTCCCCCTGTAGTTTAAAGTGGATGTGGGATTCTCCTTCACTTACAGCCCTAATCTGTTATGTAGCCTTGCTACCTGCTGCTATGCCACCACTACCTTGCAGCCCAAAGACGACTGCACTGCAGCAGTGGGTGAGCGACTCCTGTTTTTGTCCCTAGCTCGTGAAACACACTGGGGCCTTGCAGAGCAATGTGGAGCTGTGCCTAGGGCACTCCAGGCTGTGGGGCTGCCTGGGGCAAACTGAGCTGGTGGTGACCTCCCAACAGGTCCTATCAGATGGTGCATCTCTTCTTTCTGCTCTTCTCCAGCAGCCAAAATCTAGAATGTTGCTTTCTGCCCCAGAAGTGCCACACGAGTCTTTTCTCCCCCTGGCAGTGCCCTCCCAGGCTCTGCAATGGGGTCAGACTGAACATACGTCTCTGGCTACTCCCTTCATGCCAAACCATTGTGGCAGGTTTTCCTGGTGAGATGTCCCTCAGAAGAGGACACCAAGTGTTGCTAGCTGCCGCTGCAGACTCAGGCTCCCCCAGGATGGCTGCCACGAGCAAGCAGGTGCCAGCAAGTAAAGAGGCATCGGGCACAGACATGCACGTTGGATCGTCCCAGCATCCCAACAGCCTCACAGGGCTCTTGGAGCTGCGGTGAGGGTTTGCTGCCACTGACTCTCCTCTCTCTGCAGGCCCTACCGTGAAGGCATGCTCCAGAGCATCCAGGAGGTGCTGGTCCAGATCCTGCAGCTCCTGCAGGAGCAGCAGGTGCTGCTGGAGAATCTGACAAACAACACAGTCTCCCAGCTCCACACCCTCTCACAGCCTCGTGAAGATAGGTGAGATCCTGAGCCAGATGCTGTACTTGCTCTAGACCCAGTGTGGCTGCAATGTCCCGCACACAAATGTTTTGGAGAGGGATGACAGGGTAGTCCATCAATGACCCACACACCTCAGGGGGTCACAAAAACAAGTCTCAGGTGTCCTCTGCTGCTAGCTACACCCCCCAGTGAGTCCCACTATCCCGGTTCACAGGAGTGTCACCTTCTCTGCACAGCTGGCTCAGAGTTCTTCATGACAGAAGCCCCAAATATTGTCGAAGTTTGTAAAAGATAATTTGTAAAATTAAAAATATCTTTCTGTCTGCAACAACAGTTGACCAATTCTTTCCCCCTCTCTGGGGCATGTTCCCCTTCTCACTTTCGAGATGAGAAGAAGAGGAACTCAGCTATTTACAGCCTCCTAGAAAGTCCCAGGCTATACACCGTGGGGCAGATGTACCTTCTCTGCCCCTGCCCATTCCATGGCAGCTTCCAGCTGCACCTGGGGCCAGCAGGACCTTGGCCTGGAGAACATGGTGCTGGGGCTGGGGAGGGCAGGGAGCCCAGAGGGGGCACAGGCTGAGTCTTTCTGCAAGGCAAGGAGCCAGGCTGGATGATAATGAGCAGCACTGGGGCTACAGAGGCAACACGTGCTGCAGCCATGGTCCCTTGGTCATCATGTCTTTGGATGGTCACTTCTAGACAGTGAATTGGGGCTGTCAAAGCCGGTGCTGTGGACTTGCAGCAATGCCTCAGGGAGCCCTCTCCCACTCCCAGGCGTCAGGGAGGTGGATCCACACCAGGCATTGGTAGTTGCCAATGTGCCAACTCAATGAAATTCAACAAAGCCAAATGTCGGGTCCTGCACTTCAGCCACAACAGCCCCCATCAGCGCTACAGGCTTGGAGAGGTGTGGCTGGAGAGCTGCCAGGCAGAGAGGGACCTGGGGATGTTGATGGACAGCAGCTGAACATGAGCCAGCAGTGTGCCCAGGTGGCCAAGAAGGCCAACGGCATCCTGGCCTGTATCAGGAATGGTGCTGTCA